GCGTCAAAGCGGTAAAGAGCTAACACTTTCCTTGCTCAAGTGGAAGCCGTCTTGAACTCCAGGCCTTTATGTGCCCAGAGCTCCGACCCAAACGACTTGCAGCCCTTAACCCTGGCACATTTTCTTACCCAAGAACCTCTAAATTCTTGTCCCGACCCTGATTTGTCCCATCTCAAATTGAACACTTTGTCTTGGTGGCAATTAGTTCAACGATTGAACGCAGAATTTTGGAAACGCTGGAAGGATGAATATCTCCACACCTTGCAGCAATGCTCAAAATGGACTCAAAATCCTTCTAAAATAACTTTAGATCAGCTAGTAATTATCAAACATGAAACGAAACCTCCCCTTCATTGGGCCCTTGGCCGAGTTGTTGAGCTACATCCCGGACCAGATGGGCATGTTCAGGTGGTCACCTTAAGGACCCAGCAAGGACTGTTTAAACGCCCTATTGTTAAGCTGTGTCCTTTGCCAATTGGTTAGATTCCAAACCTTACCAATGTATCTATGTTTGTGTCGTCGCGGGTCAGAATTCTTACCTAATTTATTTTAGTTTATTTTTATTTTTTTTTTACTCAATTTAATTTTTTCTCTTTGATTTTTGATTTTCAAAACGTTGGTTTTGAGTGGGCGGAAAATGTACGCGCATCTCTTCAAGAGTGTCAAAGTCACGAATTTTGCTCATATTGAAAAACCATACAAATTCAAATAGGTATAGCGCCTCCTATGCAAGGAACACCAGCGCCCTCGGTATGGAACCGAGGTCGACAAAAAGGTACGAAAAACACTTGATTCGGACAGCCAAGCGACTGCGAAAACACTCTCTCTCTTTTCGCCAAACACGAAACACGAACACACATTTTTCAATCCGTTTCGCGCACAAGAAAGTCGATGAATTCGCGAGCTCGCCGGTTACCGGTTTCGAAATAGAAGCCGGTATTGTTGTGCAACCGAAACAAAACCCGGGATCCCGGTATTAAACAACTAACTTAGAACTAGAAGAACCCCAGAACCACAGGTAAGGCGCCTTTTATCATATTGTCTTTTGTATGGTTATTTTTTTGCTACATATTCATTAGTTGCGCTTACAGTCCACGTAACACCTAAAACATCAACCATTACGCCAACACAAACTTTTACACACTTGAATAACACAAAAATAGCACTGCGTTAGCAGGAGTTCGTTTGCTGCGTTTGTTGTTTACAAAATCTTGATGTCAGGAGCGCTGTCATATTGAAACCTCGCGTTTTCACGCCAAAGTTTTTAATTTGAATTTCAATAAAAAAAAATTTCCTACAACGTATAGATTAAAATGGAAAAAATGAAAACTATGTAATATCTGATCACTAGGAGTATCTAAAAAAAAAAATTGAGAAATATGAAAATTCCCTATTGATGTAGATCTTCGCTCTTCGCAGGTCTCTTCCGAGACACTTTCTAGCGCAAAGTTCTTCTGCGAATATTTCCGTTTGAAATATGGTTGGGCTTTTTCCTAGGGCTGTTGATGGCTTATAAGGTAGGCTGTATAACCCTGCTCCAGTTCCTTGCTCTGTTTTCGACCCGTCTGTATACCAGACAGATGACCCGTTCGGGAATACAGGTACGATATTTTCTCCCCAAGAAATGCATACCTTTGTACAGTTGCCAATCTGTTTTGCGCTGTCTTTTGTTTTAGTTTTGGCTACCACACTATTGCAGCGTACGTGACTATGTAATATAACCATTGTAAATAACCGATAGATCATTTTTGGCTTTAGTCCCCATGTCTTGCTGAATAATCTCCGGCATGTCAAGTATTGCCCGGTCGGTTACTTTTTTGTGATTTCGTTTTCAAGTGAGTTTCTGATCCAAAGTGACTCCCAGGTATTTGACCTTACTTGCGAAATTGATTTGTATCCCATTCAAGATTGGGGCTGTTAAATTAAGCCTCCTTGTCCTTGTAAAAGGTACGATTATGGTTTTGTTGGGGTTGACGCCTAGATCCTGTAGACACCATCTGATAATGACATTTAGGGCATTTTGCATGAGGTCAGTAATAGACCCTGAGATAGGGCCTTTTTAGTAGAGTCATTTTTTTTTGTCTGGTATTTTGAGGGATGAATGTGGCTAGTTAGCTGATGAGAATATAAGTGGTTTTAATGCCTGCCTCCTGTTCGAAATGTCCACAGAATGTTTCGCCGGAAAACTCGATTTCGAATTGTGATTACCGTCTGGCGATTTTTCAGCGTTACTTTCACAACAAAACCTTTCATTCTCTCGATTGCCAGACAAAAAGTAAACGCGGAAGGTTGTTTTCTTTTCTCTTGGAAGTTGACACCCATCCCCATTTTTTCAGCTATTGAAAAGCATCTAATATTTTTCATGGGTGAATTATTTATCAGTGTCAATCTTTTATTTAAAAGCCAGAAAATTTGAGATCATTAAAAAAAAATTCTTCATGTAATTCAATTTTTTTCTTCTGTAAATTTTCGAACGGGAGGCCGGCATTAACCCATATTCTCATCAGCTTAGTAGCCACATTCAGCCCTCAAAATGCCAGACAAAAAAAATGACTCCACTAAACAGCCCCTATCTTACAGTCTATAATAATCCTATCATGCTTACCCCTAATAACTGTAAGGTCGTGAGCATATTCTAGGATTGTGATCCCTTGGGCGCTTAGCGCGTTGAGAAGTTCATCTACTACCAGTGAACACAACAGTGGCGACAATACCCCCCCTTGGGGGCATCCCTTGACTACTGAAACTGTTGCAGAGTCACTTCCAATGGTTGCTTTGATTTTCCTATTCTCTTCAATCCATGCAATTGTAGTTTCATCAAGGCCCTTTTTTCTTCTTCTTGTAAGAGGGCGGGAAAGAGCCCATCTTCATCTGGTGATTTGTAGAGCTGGAAGCTATTTATAGCCCATTTGATCTTATTTTCAGTGAATATTCTTCCGGGTAGGCCTTTAGTGCGGTTGGTCAGTCGCGGAACACCTTTTACCACAATAGTTTTTTCCCCATCAGGTTTTTACTCGATAGACTGTGGAGAGTGTGTTTGCAGAAGCGGTTTTACACTATCTAGTATACTTTCGGTATAGCTAGCATCAGATCTCTGAAGGAGCCCGATATTGTTTAAGTGATCTTTTGCTAAGATTTTCTGGAGGCGCATTATCTGAGGGACGTCGATCATCTCCTCGCAGGGTTCTCTTTTAGATCTTCTCAATTCTTTGTTATATTCTGTTAGGGCTTTTTGTATTTGCTCCAGTCGTGAGTGCATTTACCCCTTTGGAATAATTTTCTTGTCTCAGTTCTTAAGGAGCTTAGTGTCTTGTTCCACCAGGATGTATTCCTCTTCACTACCCTTTGCTTCACAGAACAACTGTTCTCATACGTTGTAAATATGAGATAGGTACTTTATTTCGTTAGAATAGAATTCTAGATCGCCTTCCATCTTGATAACGTAAGGGAGATCGTTCTTTCCGTTCTTTATAGATATGATACAGACCTCAGTCGGTGAGCTTTGGGTTTATATAATTAAGTAGGCATTCTTCTGTGTCCTCTATGTCGAACCTGATGTGTTTGTGGTCCGACATCGAGGTTTCATCAGAAACATGCCAGCCCTTTATACGGTTGCGTATAGTTGTGCTGGCGAGGGTTAAATCCAACACCTCTTGCCGCAAGCTATTCGCAAAGGTGGGTTTGTTAAGGCCGTTTTGCAGCTTGCAAGAAAACTTGAATGCCATTTTTTGCATGCAAAAAAATTGCATTCAATATTTTTTGCACGTCGTTTTACACCTTGCAATTTGACTTGTTTCTTTCTCTAACCTTAACCATACTTTTTTGTTTTTAATGTTGTGTTGTTGTTTGCATTTTCCAAAAGTAAAAAAAGTGATCATAAGTCAATATAGCATTAAGAAGAAGAAAGCAATAGCAGCAACTTTAAGCATCATAATTGCTAAAAATTCCCCAGCTTACACTTACATGCAATGCTTTTCAAGTTCCAAGAATCTTGCAGAAACCGATCAGCTGACTCACTTCTGCGCATGCACTCGTTCAAGTTTCTTGCATATTGCAGATAGAATTGCAAGCTGTAAAACGGCCTTTACCTTCATTAATAATGTCTATGTCATACGAGATCAAAAATTCAATAGGATACTCACCTCCTATTGGCATTTCAAATTAAGATCGTAGTGCCGCGGTGTCGAATAGCTCAACTACTTTCTAGTACATTCATTTATAACCTCACTTTTGCTTTCAACCTAATTTACATATGTATGATTTACATTAGCTTGAATGTTTGTCTTGTGTTTATGGCTCTTGATGCAGGCCAAAATTCAATATAACCTAGTTCGTTTACCTGACCTAAAATGGTCGAGTCTTGTGCTATAGTTTTAGAACCTGATCAAAGCGGTTAATTTCGACATTCCTAAGGACTTTGGCTTAATTTCGTTTATCTACATCAAAAGCCACGATGTTTCTTACAATTTTGCTAGAATAGGAAAACATTCGAAATTGGCAAACATTTTAATCTCAGAATCAATTATCAAGCATAATAAAACACAAATCTAAAGGTATCGATGTTTCTATGTTTATTAGGACAGCTGTTCGAGTTCAAAGTAATTTTTATTCCAGAATAAATTCAGGTATGGAAGTCGTGGAAGTTAAAAATAGCAGAGTGTTTTTGATGAGAGAGAATAAATATTCGAATATTGATGCGCGCAGGACTGGACATATTTTCAATTTTATAGGTATAGATTATGGAAACTCGTTATCATTATTGGCCCATTTAAAATAGCGTAACATATATTATTTAAAAACTTTATAATACAATAATACAATCGTATAGCTCAAGAATATCCAAGGATTTATGTTAGCATACATATTAGGTATTATTTGATTTTCTTTCAGTATAAATCGAACTATCGAACACGTATCTTTTTGCATCCCTGCCTGCACGGTTATTAGGTCTGGTGAATGTACACTAGCCTGGATAGATTTTACAGTACATAGGTAGATTTTCATACTACTTCTTCCCTTTTTTTTCTTGCTGCTACAGCGGCCACCAATGCAGCTCCTCTGCCACTTCCATCTTCGGACAACATAAGATCAAAAGTAAATCCGGGAGCAATAAGTTCTTTAATTTTCTCCCTCATAACGCGGCTAAAAAAAAAATTAATATTATTTGTTTTTAGTAGGTTCTTGTTTGTCCACTCCAGTAGTAACAAGAATTGCAGTTAAAAAAAAAAACGAATTAGGTTGCAATACATTTCGAAACTATAGACTAGTGGAATTATCGGAATATAAAAGTATACAAGCTCGGTTTGAAAATGTCAAACCTACTGAAACTCGACCTCCCAACAGGCTTTTCAATACCAATACATGTTTCAGCGACTTTGGCTATACCTATATACCTAAATTTATTTAAACAATTTCCATATAGTTAACAAATTTAAGTGATTATGGCTCGATTTCTCGTAAGAGGTAAAATTGCGAGCACTTTTGGAAAGTCGCAGTGGCCATGCATGAACGATGTACAGGGTCTGTTCCCTAAAATTAGTGCGGCTTCTATAACCTGAACAAAAAGAAATACAAAAAAAGTTGAAGGGGTTTTATCTTTATTATTTTTTGCACATGTCAAACCGGGCAAATGACAGGTGTCAATTTTCATAATGACAAAGACTTGCATTTTAAAAGGAATACCCTGTATATTTTTGGCCACAATGATTGTTTTTTTTTTCTGATTCCAAATATGATTGATATTTGGTTCAGTTGTTTTTGCGCTATTTGAGTTTTAAATTGCATTGAGTGGGGCTCACCATTGATACAAGGAACCGGGAACAGACGTAATTTAGGCTAATGTAAATGTATTTTCAAAATTAGATAGCGTAAAAAACAGCTGAGCCAAATATATATGGTATATTAGGAATCAAAAGAAAAAAATCTATCATTCTATCCAAAAATATACAGAGTGTACCATTTAGAAAAAAATGCAAGTGTTTGTCATTATGACAGTTGGCACCTGTCATTAGCTCATTTTGACATGTATAAAAGATAGTAGAGATAAAACCCTACCACTTTTGTATTTAACCTTTTTTTTGTATTTTTTTTGTTCAACTTTTAGAAGCCGCACTAATTATAGAGAACAGACCCTGTACAAGTCCGACTTTCATAATCTGATACTCCAAAGGAATGTGAGCTGGTGGCTCTCTACGTTAGCACGCCAATGGTTATCTGATCTCACACCTGTTTACTGTATTTTTCCTCCCCTCGTTCCTCATACGGAAAGTGTCAAATTAAAAAAGCTAAACATTATGGGGTTTCCTCTTTCATTAAGTTCATCATGTCTAACTAATTAGTTAGTGCTGGGAAGAGAGGCAAGCAATTGTTTTGAGAAACTCAATAATATTATGTTTCAGTGTGAGGGAAATTCTGCAAATGTATAGTTTTATTCACGATGGCTGGACTACTATCACTACTACTTCTAGAGTCACGGTCTTGAGGTTTTGATGTAAATTATTCGCTATTAAATTCACAGCAGGTCCATTTCCATAAAAACATGTTCAATGGTATCCATATAATTTCCATTTATTTGCATAAAAGCTCGAAAAAAAAAATTATTGAAAATTTTCAACCGTTTGGAACTGTTTGTTCTGCGAAAAAAATAAATTGTTTGCAGGAGACAATGGACAATACAGCAGATATTATCTACGTGAAAGAGGTACTGCCACCTCTCAAGCCTTACTTTAGCGTTTCTGTTCTGGCACGATAAAATAATAATATTTTTTATTCCCTGTTGAAAGGGTGAGTAGTCAACAACAAGAATTCATTTGGGAGGTTATTTCGAAATTGGACTTTCTTGAAACCATTTTCTAGAGTTTACGTCATTCATTTCATCACCAGATTTCGTTTGAAATTTTACTAATAGTATAGGTATTTGGAATGAAATCATTTATATTTTCTTCGTGGGCTATAACTAATCGTTCTCCTTTCGACACCAGCTTTCGTGGTCCGTTCGTGTTATTACTTCATAATTTTCCAGAGATATGAGAAGAATGAATATGGCGAAATCGTTCCATACTTCTTACAAGGTTTAATATTCTCAAGCGAACATAATGAAAGTATTGAGCTCTATTTACACAGCAGCATCAATTTTTGTAAAAAAAAAGTGTAATTATAGTAAATGCGATTGAAACCTTCGATGTAGACGCAACACTAAATGGCCTACTTAGGTGGCACGATTATAGTGAACATTTAAATCTTTTTTCATGCAACAGTACCTGTTCCGATCTGTACAGCCATTAACTTACTCAAAATGTGGATGGTGTTTGTAAACAGAACCATCTATCGCGACAACCACATGCGGTTCACCCATTTTCTCAATCAAGGCGCAGATAGACGTTGATACCAGATGTGCCGATCTTCTCGATACTGTTTGACAAATGTAACGGAAATTATACATATCTTGAACAGAAGGATTTTTGACTCCTTAAAAAACGTACAAAATAATTCGTTTTAAATTAAATTAAATAGTTTCCTACCCAATTCGTGTAGGATTTTCTTCGTTTTTGAAAAGGTTCCAACAGGATCAGATTCAATTTCTGATATCATTTCACTTGTAAATACATCTCTAAAAAACTTGCTTGAGTATTATTTCTTAAAATCAACAATTACTTACCTACTTTTTTTTAAAAGCAGATGCATCCCCTGAATCAAAAATTAAAGTCGACTTTAAAATGTTTCCAATTGCTTTCAAACCAGTTTTCTTTGTTCCCTTGATTAATTTAAGGGTCCTCAGCCTGACTATTTCCCCTAAATACATGCCAGAAACACATTTTTCATGTATTTGCTTGCCTACGTGTAGACTATCCATATCGTTGATTTTATCTTCTTCTGTCCGTAAAAAATCTATAGCCCCATCTTCTCCAAAGGCACCCATTTCTAAGTTGATAATCATTCTACCAGAACCTTCATCTGGTCCATCATACATTTCAACATTTGATAGTTTCTCCACGTAGCACGCATTACTGCCCGTACCTATAATGTACCCGATTCGACACGTAGGATTCTTCCATGCGCAAGCCATTAGGGTACCAGCTGTATCATTAATAATCGCACAGACGTCAATTTTTATATCATCTCTGCGTTCCAAGGCATCCATAAGCCATTTTCCTACATCTGAATCTACTACATCTTCACAGTTAAATCCTTTAGTCCATCTTTTCAAGATTGCAGAAGTTAGACCATTTTGCTCACACGGGAAACTAAAACAAAAACCCAATGGCAAGTTATCATCTTGTACGTTGTGCGCATTTGCAAATTCTGCAAGGCATTGAGCTATACAATCAAAAAGCATCGTGCCAGTACCAACTAAGATTTCGTCGGGTATTACAAAAATGTTTGATTCGCATTTGTCTTCTTCTAAATTAATTAGAAGTACTCTAAAATTGGTACCACCCAAATCCAGAGCAAAGTATTTCCCTTTCTCAGTCCCATCAGGAAGATCTTGAATAAATGTTGGGAAACATTTAATCACTGCTGCGTCGTGTGTGTCTCTTTTAAGGCCCCTATCAACATTTTCCATGAACAATTTCATTTCTTTTTTCAAAGTATCGTTGTCTAAAATCATGTCTTTCATTGCTTGTTTGATATCCGGTTCTACCCATGGATCTAGAAGATCTTCCGCTTTTCCATTTTGTGGTGGATTGCAAATTTTATTACGGCAAGCCATAAATTTTATAAATTTTAGGTTTAGTTACGAAAATTTTGATTCAGAAAATTCTGATTTGGTATGTCAAAATGACACACAAAATTGAGCGCACCCTCTTTAGGTAAGGTTTACGCATTGAGTTTTATGGAAGAAGATGGTCGGCCTGCTCCACGTTTGCCTGTATATCACTAGGGAGCGCTTTCATCATTCAATTAGTGACGTTCTGTGTTAGTGACCTTATTAATTAGACCGAATTTATAGTTGCTCCTTCTGGTTTCCGCCATCAGACCAAGGAAACCATAAGAGTGCGTTCGAAATCACCCTGGTCGTCACATCGAGTGCACACCAGCCATGAAAAATTCATGGCTGGTGTGCATTCTGTGTGACGCCCTGGGTGATTTCGAACGCACTCAACCGTTTAGAATAATAATTGACAGTTGACATGACTCTTTTCAAATAGTAGCAATAGTATCCATTCTAAACTCACGTCCTTCGAGGAAGACTCAAGGAGCGCATACAAATCCGTCGGCAATACTCTTAAGAACAAAAATATTAATCACTAAGCATTTCATTAAAAAATATACCTATTAACCAAGAAATAGGTGCATTCTCAATATTTTTGGCCAGATTTATTTGGACGAGCGGTCATTGGACGAGCCCAAGGAATTTTTTAATAAAAACCGTTAGGTTCAATACACATTTTCGCGACATTTAGCGTGAAGCTGATTTCAATCCTCACTTTCGACGGGGGGCAAAAAAGCGTTTAAGGACCATTTACACAAATACGCAAATAAACGTAAATATCGTTTGTTTGTCCCAATGATATGTTTTCCCCCTATCGAAAGTGACCTTATGTGATTTGTGACGTAATAGCTAGCGCCTAATTGATATGTGTAGATAGTCCTTAAGTGCTTTTTTTGTCCCTCCATCGATCAGGGCCAAGCGGTATTGTTTATGTTTCAAAGGATAACGCACACCTAACATGGGATTTTTGGGTTATATGGATTTTGCCCATTTTTTGATATGTTGTAGAGGATTTAATTCTCAACAACTTTCAAATTTGACGAAATCTTGTAGGTATTACGGTCTTTGAGATATGAGCGTTAAAAAATAAACTTTTTTGCAGATTTTTGTGTAAAGAGTATACGAAATACTGGTGTTTATCAGTCAAAATATTGACAGGTTCACATATTTTACGTCACTAACAAAAAAATGTCAACATAGGCTAAGGCCGGGACCGCACTAGGGCCAATATACGGGCGATCCTCCAGGCCCAGGACTACTTGTCGGGAAAATAACCAATCTCCAAGTTAATTCAAAGCCTTTGTGAATTTTTAGGTTGGATTCCGCTCGCTTGATGGGGTGTAGATACAGAGACAAAGGGGAAACATAAAAAAAAGCCTGAAAGAATGAATATGGCATCAGTCTTTTGAAGAATAAGGCATGAACGTATTTATCTAAATATTTTTAGCAATAAAGCCTTAATTCAGTATGCGAAAGTAAGAAAATAAGGAACTTACCAATGGGAAATTTGCCTTTTTTTCACAAACTGTAACATTTGAAATGTCACAATAATATATTTATCGTTCTTGAGGCCGCGTTAATGGCCGCCATGTTTAAACTGTGATTGGTTGATTTTTCGAAACTTGTTTTAAGGTCTTTAAGAAAACGGCACATCAGAATTGGCTCAAATTTGGCATAAACATTATTTGATCGATTATCTACAATTCCTTATTTTGGTTTTTCGATATTCAGCACTTGTTTTTAAATTCAAAAATCACGTTCGCAACCACCAAAACAATTAAATGTGTTGATGGTTGCATATTTGCATGTTTATCAAGCTTGGATCCGTGAAAAGCATAATTTATTGATAACCACGAAAAACTAAAAAAAGCTAATTGTAGAGATTGTAAAAAATATATCAAAAAATGTTTATGCCAAAGGATTTTGGAAATTATTGCGGATTTTTAAACGAATTTTGAAGGTGAAAACAGTTCAAGCAATTTCAAGTAGATGGCGCCACGGCAAAAAAGCTACATTGGGAGCAACATAATTGTATATATGTCTTTCTCTGTCACTAAGTGTTTCACCGACGAACAGATTGTGTTTTGGACAAATAATAAAATATTGAACCCTATGTGTAGAGTGACGCAGTCGTCATTTTCGAAAACTAAATTTAAACATGGCAGCCATTAACGCGGCCTTAATTATTTCTATATATTTTGGATTCATTTAAGGTTTAAAGTCAACCCCCATTTTCTGAACCTTGTGTTCAAAAACTCCAAAAAAAATATATGTTTTATGGTTATTGATATACTTTAATCCATAATTTTTTTAAGTAAATTTGACTCGCCATTTTTGAGATATATCGCAAAAACTGAAAAAAAAGTGGTTTTTCACCATTTATTTCAAAATGAATAGATGAAGTTTCCCGTTATTTTTATTACGAACTACTATTGCAATTCTACGCGACATATATTTTTTTCAAATTTTTTGAACTTGTAGTTTTCTTGCTACTGCAAGAATAGTTGGAAATACGCCTGTAGCTACACTGTTTAAACAAAAATCCGACGGATGAACGTTCAAAATGATTTGTGTTGGTCCAAACTACAACCCTCTGTTTATGTAAAATAGAATAATACTTCGAATTTCCGCAAAAAAAAAGAAAAAACTTTCCATCACACAATTTAATCAAATGCAGATTTCTATTTTTTTTGACTATCAAGTTAGGGCACACTATAGGGGCAACAGTACTGACATCTCTCGTTGCTGTAATAAACTATATGCCTGACTTTAAACCTTAAAAGTAATATTTCGTACACCTAGCGACATCTATGATTCTTCTGACTAGTTTTCCTAACCTAATATCATTGAATCGAGAATTTCATTATTTCCGAGAAACCTGTAGCGCTGTCATTTTTATGATTTCGATAAGCCTGACAGATAAAGAAAAAAAAAGACAGAACCACTTTGGGTACTTTCGATTTTTTTTTTCTATTTTGGTCGTGGGACCGAATCGGTCGTCCAAATTTTTAATCTTAAAAATCTAAAAATTTTGTCTTTATTTTTGGCCATCGAGCCCATAGTTTTATAAATGGATTAGCCAGAAGAGTGATTAATCGTGTCAGCTAGAACGTTTCTTGGAAAATCAACAGATTGTTGATTTTTGTGAAGATTTTTGAAAGTAAGGTTAACTATCGGCCGTCAGGTATGTAAATCCATTTTACTCGCTGATGAATGAGTCCTTATATTTCTTCAATTCATTCAGGCAACTTTGGACAGGATGAAAAATCCGTGCCTGCACTTCTGAGTGAAAATTGATGAATTTGAGACCATGCAGTTCTGTATCTCAGAATAAATCTGGGCCCCCTTTTCAAGGAATGTTGGTGTCCTATAAGAAGTAGATCCCCAACCATTATTTGGTTGTCTCCAGCCAGTTTGGTACTTCCAGATCTCAAGTTTGTGAAATCCTCCGAGGCTTTACAAGATTCCGTCCAGGCTTGTATAATTATTTACATATGGGTCCCGTAAATGTGCCGTATTAATTACCGTTACTCATTATTATTTTTTTTTTCTATAGCCCCCTATCGATTAGCTTTATTAGCTAATTAATATCTTTATAAATATTAATTACCGTTAATTATTATTACCTCTTTTCTATTGCCCCTTATCGTTTAGCTTCATTAGCTAATTAATATCTTTGTGAAATCCATTACCGACTCGTTTAACGTATAGTAGTTTTTGACTAGAATAGCTAACTACTGCTTAAATATTATTATTAATTTAATTAATTAATCATTATCATAATCAGATGTTTACCTTCATTAACGTTTTCTTTATCATTATCTAGTATTCCAGTATCTAATAATTATGGGTTATTATAATTATTACAAATTTATTTCTTTCATATCGAGTACCGATAGATATAATATATAGTGGATTCATTAACCTTTACAGGTTAATTTAACCTTTAATTTCAAATCAATAAGGTGGTAGTTCTACAAGGTAAACCAATGTAAAATCTTCAGGTAGATAAAGTTAAGTTATATGGCTACATATTTTGAATTTTAATTACAGGTAAGACGGTAGAGCTCTCCCCGATATCCTTAATTTCAGGTTCTTGATATTTAAAATTCCCTAGGGATTATTTATTACCTTTCTGCATCTATAAATTTGCTTTCATTTGATTTGATTGACTTTGAGTCAAAAATTAAAGGTTAATGGTATTATGACTTCCGCAATCCGCATTTATACTTAGGTAAATTTCATCGTGGGTATTTATTCAATTGTTTTTGAATTTCAATCCTTTAATATACTTATTTAAATTAAGTTTTGCTTTTGGAAAGCTGCTTAATTTTTTTAAAAAAAAATTGGATACTGAACAATATTCTCCATTGAACAATTGAACAAATTTTTAATGAACAACAAGTTCGCCATCTTGTCACAAATTTTTAATGAACAACCAGTTCGCCATTTTGTCAACAAACTTTCAAAGAACAACAGTTCGACCTTTGGTTAATAAATTATTTCTAGTTTTTAGAATTCCAGAACTTGTTTTTTATTGAATGGGTTAAATGTCAGATAGCTATTGGATTTTGGATTTATTTTACCTTTTCAGATTTTTAAATTTATCTTTTTAAATACTAGCTGACTATTTGAATAGTGTCTAGTTTGGCTATTCTTTTATAATAAAAATAATTTTATACAAACTAGTGGCGCCCTCTCTCTGTACTGTACCAACACCAAGAACCACCCCAAGCTGAACAACCACTGAGCATAGTCGAGCACAGATTATGAGCATTCTTTTGTTTCGACAAAAGAGCGTTACAAAACTCAAAAACATGGAACCAAAGTTTAGGTTTTTCTCTAGTAGTTCGTCAATAAATCGGCAATATAATGCTTCGGTGCTATAAACGAGCTAATAGCCACCTTTTGACGATTTTACTGGGCCTAAACCTTTCGAAAAATCGGCAAAAAGCCACGAGAAAAGCAAAAACGTTGCTTGTTTCTCAACGCAAAAT